GACTCTCCCTCAAGCCGTCAAAGTGTCGGTTCGCCTATGACGAGCTGAAGTTCTTAGGTCACGTGGTTAGTAACGAAGGCATTCGTCCAGACCCAGAGAAGACCCGCGCCGTCGCAGCATTTCCAGCACCAAGAGACAAGAAGGCCGTGCGAAGGTTCCTTGGGCTATGTGCCTACTATCGGCGCTTCGTTCGAGATTTCGCAAAACTTTCCGCACCGCTCACAAACCTCACGAAGGACGCCGAGAAGTTCGAATGGGCCGAGGAGCAGCAGCAGGCATTCGACGAGCTGAAGCGACGACTGCAGACTCCTCCTGTCCTTGGACATTTCGACCAGGATGCGGAAACCGAGATTCACACGGACGCAAGTAACGCAGGACTTGGCGCGGTACTGGTTCAAGTACAAGAGGGCACCGAACGAGTCATCGCCTACGCCAGTCGGACATTGTCCAAGGCGGAGCGAAATTACTCCACGACTGAAAAAGAATGCCTTGCGGTCGTCTGGGCGATCACGAAGTTTCGTCCGTACTTATACGGAAGCCCGTTCCGCGTAGTCACGGACCACCATTCGCTCTGCTGGCTTGCGAACATCAAGGACCCGTCAGGACGCCTTGCGCGATGGAGTCTCCGACTACAAGAGTTCAACATGACCGTAGTCTACAAGTCAGGCCGCAAGCACAGCGACGCCGACTGCCTGTCCAGAGCTCCCATCGAAACACCCTCCGACAGCAGCGACGACGATAACGACGAGTGGTTCCTGGGCGCAGTGAACACCAACGACATGGCCCGACGTCAACGAGACGATCCTGAGCTGCGCGCACTAATAGAGCACCTGGAAGGGAGTGGGAGTGCCATACCACGTGTTTTTTCACGAGCCCTGCCGACCTTCGCCATTAGACAAGGAGTTCTCTACAAAGAGAACTTCGGCAACAACAACTCGACGTGGCTGCTGGTAATCCCGACCGACCTTCGAGAGGAGATTTTCCAAGCCTGCCACGACGACCCGACGTCCGGACACCTCGGTTACAGCCGGACACTGGCCCGTATTCGTGAAAAGTATTACTGGCCCAAGCTCCCCAAAACGGTCCACCTATACACACGATCATGCCATGAATGCCAGCGACGAAAGAAACCTCCAACGAGGCCGGCCGGACTCCTGCAGTCAATTCCTCGCCAACGGCACCCTTCCAACAGATCGGAATGGATCTACTTGGCCCTTTTCCACCGTCGACGTCGGGAAATCGCTGGATCATCGTCGCCACAGATTATCTCACGCGGTACGCCGAAACGAAAGCCCTTCCTTCCGGAACTGCTGTGGAAGTTGCCAAGTTTTTCATTGAATCCATCGTCCTCCGGCACGGCGCTCCCGAAGTCCTGATCTCAGACCGTGGATCCTCGTTCATGGCCCAGCTGACACAAGAAGTCCTTCGTCTCAGCCACACCAGCCATCGTCGCACCACGGCGTACCACCCTCAAACCAACGGGCTGACGGAAAGACTCAACAAGACCATCGCCGACATGATTTCCATGTACGTCGACGTGGAGCACAAGACATGGGACGAGGTGTTGCCGTACGTCACCTTTGCCTACAATACGGCCGTGCAAGAAACCACCGGGGTTACACCCTTTCAACTGGTTCATGGTCGCAAAGTGACGACAATGCTGGACGCAATGTTACCCCACGAACCGGCTGTCGACGGAAGTGACGACGCCCAGGTGGTTGCCCAACGGGCAGAAGAAGTCCGTCAGCTCGCCAGACTCCGGATTCAAGCCCAACAACGTATCGACACTGGCCGCTACAACCTTCGTCGCCGGGACGTCCACTTCCAGCCGGGAGACAGGGTGTGGGTCTGGACACCGATCCGCCGCCGTGGTCTCAGCGAGAAACTACTGAAGCGCTACTTTGGACCCTACAAAGTGCTTCGTCGACTCGGGGATCTGAACTACGAGGTGATGCCCGACGGAACACGAACATCGTCACGCCGCCCACCACGACCTGAGGTCGTCCACGTCGTGCGCCTGAAGCCGTACTACGCTCGATAGGACTGTGGACCTTTTGTGCTCCCAAAGACTCTTTAGTTTATCGTTCTTTTTTTTATTTCGATTTGTTTTACACTGCATCGGGGCGATGCACTTTTAAAGGGGGGAGTAATGCCGCGCGCAAGGCTGAGAAAGCAACGCTCGGTCACGGTCCTCCAGAAAGTTCCCGTTTATTCATGTACCGCACGTAACTTCTATCATTTATCCCTGCATTTGTTTTCTAGAAAGTGCGTGTTCATTCTCGCCCCGATCACGCGACGCTCGAACCGCTTTCGCCGAATCTTCGAGATAGCGACGCACTCTAGATAAGAGGCCGACCGCGACCTTGTCGAGGCAGTTTCGCCCCAGCGCTCGACTCTGCTGTCTCGCCGACTTCGACGCCCGCGACGCTCTGTTATTATCTTTTGTACCCTTTTATTTTTGGCACAAGTTCGCCACATTAAACGTTTATTTATTCCTGTTTATTTCTTGTTTATTGGTCACCACCCGTGACAGTATTACACAAAAAAAAAAAAAAAACTTTGCATTTTAGGACAAAACGATAAAAAAAAAAGGCAGCATGAAAATGTTTCGTATTTGAGGCAGTTGGCGGCGTCTGCGCAACCAATCGATTAGTAATTAGGGTTGAGAGCGGAAGGATTTGCAGCTGCTGGTTTTGTGCCCGAATGAAAAAAAGAGGAAGCCACGATTCAGCGTCTGTCCACAAATCGATTTCCGGAGCTTGTGTTTGGGAAACCCCCAAGGAGTGCGATCTCTTTCTATGGCTTTTTGTGCTGTAGTTCTCTCTTTGGAAACAAAAATAATAGCGCAAAAAAAAAAAAAAAAAAAAAAAATTTTTTTGTTTACTTTATTTTAACATTAGATCATGAACGTTTAATTTTTACTACAGACCGACTCATGTTTACGAACAAACCGGAGCGCCCCTAGCGGACGCCATTGGCGCCACGCATGCGCGATGAGGTGTAGGCAAGAAGCTCGCGCCGGTCGCCTTAAAAAAAAACTGTTGGAAGGCGATGTTGTCGGCGTCCGTGTGAGTCCCCATGTTTTTTTGTTTGTTTTTTTCTCGTTGGAAGTGTTGACTCTACGTCTTCCTGGCAATGTCTGACAACTTTAGCGGCCTCCGCGAAATTAACGATGCTCATTACACCGCAAAAACGTCGCTCGAATAATGTGACATGCGGCAATTCATTTCGCGTGGAAGCCGCAGGGTTGGCGCTAAAGCCTGACTCGTATGATGCGATTCTTCTCGTTATTTTCAGTCACGACGTCGCTCGGGCTGCAAAAGCATGGACCGTAGGTGAGATGGTCGACGTCGATAGCGAAAATCGCAAGCAGAATCGGATCAAGTGAATTAGGCATAATAAGTCAGTGATGGCCACCGGTAACAATGATCAACACCTTCTTGAATCTACTGTTTACACCGAGCCTACTTACCCCAACCAACCTTCCAACTTAAAAGTCTTTTGAGGCCACCACTTACTTCTTTCGCAATTACCGGGTCAATGTTTGGTCTAAGGGCCGCTCTCGTGTGAACGAGCAGACGACAACAAGCCGAAACGGTTGAAAGAGCAGACGACACTTCTAACGATCAGGCAGCCGTTTGAACTTGAAGACGCAATGAACGTAATCCGCAGATGGTCCGTACAACGTCTCGATTTTCCCTCGTTCATGTTGGAACAAAACAAATAAATCTGACGACCACAAGTATCCGTGAATTCAACCCAAAGTGCTTCCCGCACAAGCAATCGTAGTCCGACGGCGTCTGGTTTTTATTTTTCACGGCACATATCAACGTTCTCGGCCGAAGCGAGCAGGCAGAATACACATGAAAACTGACCTACAAACCCTTCCTGACTTTTTTGGTACAGCCCTAGTCCCGCGTTTTGATAAGAAAGCAGGCCTTCATCCGTTTTTTTTTTTTTTTTTTTCAAAACAACGCAGAAGTGCTCGTCTCGCATGGTGACTTCCGCCCACGCCCCAGACCGGAAGTGCGCCCGACGCACCACCACCGCGCCGTGACGTAAAAGAGCTGAGGTGGTGTTTAGCCAATAACAACTTCAGAAAGGCAGGGGGTGTCAAGCAAAGCAGATCGCGCGAATATAATAGTTTGCATGACTTATGCTGTTGGTGGCGATATAACGTTCCATAATGGACCGCTGATGGGAAGTCGGGATTTATATTAAGTACACAGGAGAACTGCAGTTCAATATCGTACGAAAAGGCGCTTGGACTCCTGCAAATACTATCACAATTTAAGTATGAAGTATAACCAATGCTTCATATGATCCGTGTCCGTGTGAATAAAGATACCAGGATCTCGTAAAACATGCATAGTTGCGAAACTTCGCGCACGTGTATTGACGAGCAGCGCACTCGTAACGCCACTGACATTGCCCTTCTGCAACCAGCTCAGCCAACCGGAAGTGGGATCAGCACCATGCTTCAAGAGCTGTTAGGATCCAGTAGCAAAAGCCGGCGCCATTTTGTACCACGCCGGGCGTGACCTACTATGTTCACACTTCGTTATTCCTTTTCACTGTTCTTATCGGCTAGACGCAACAATCTCCACTGGTCTCGGAGACATATTCAGATTGCTACGCTTAACGTTTCTTAAAATGTCGGTGTATGTGGCCACTCACAGCTTATATAACACGAGGCTTGATTTAATATGCTGATGCTCGATGCTTGGCAATTTGTCCCTCTGCGTGTTTATCGACTGCCATCTTGTTTGTTGCGAGGTGATGATAAGATGGTTGGCCCACGCCAGGCCCAACGGTTCTTAGTTAAGCTATCCGGGACTATAGCATACCGCTGTGCTTTCTCGTTGGCCAAACCGAGGAGAGGAAGGTAACCCATAGGTACAACGAATGCGGCGCAGGGTATCCTACATTTAGGAGGCTTTGAGGGCGTACCAGTGACGGCCAAAATGACCGTCCTCGCGTGTGCCTTTCTGCCCTTCCAGATCTACACGGACTGGGCAAACCACTACCTGGAGCGAGGGCGCTACAAGCGCTACATCCAGGACCTCCAATCCGACGTCTGCGACGGTGTCTTGTTGGCTGACGTCATCGACGCCGTCGGTGAGTATAATGTTTTGGCGGGGATTGCCGCGGTTGCTTCGAGTAAACTGCCCTGGGCTGCGCAGCTCACAAATAGCATAAGTCAAACCAAACCCAATCTCGCAAGCCACCGCCTAAAGAAAAAAAAAAAAAAATTGCATAGTTTTTTTTTTTTTTTTTGGGGGGGGGGGGGGGTGAGGGAGGGAGGGGGGGGGGGGGGCGAGCTTAATGTCGCTTTAGACCGCGATCAGACTGCTAACACATAATTTAAAAAAAAATTCTGCACACACTGTCTGAGGTGTGTTTGTTCTTTGCGTGGCGGACACATTGGTCGGACAAAACGGACAAAAGCTGTCGGCGGACGTGTTTGATGCATGGATATATAGGGTGTCTGAATTTACCAGGCTCGATTTAAAACGGACCGTAAAAATCGACGCCTGCACGAAGCATTCCAAACTTTTTGTCAAAGGTGTATTTCACAGATCCGTTTTCTTTTTTTTGAAAATTACAAAGCGTAGCTTCCTTTTTGTAAAAAAATAGGGCAAAAAGCTTACCAGGGTCAACGGCGCGTGGCGACGCAGGTGACTGAGTCGAGCTGCGGGACGCGTTTGGCGCTCGTATTGATAGATGGCGTCGGGAGCGGTGTCGAAAGGTGTAGCCTACCAGCGAAAGAAAGCAGACGATACGCAGACGAAATCCGACGGCAGCAAGAACGCCATCGTTATGCAACCGCATTTTCTTTTTTTAAGTTTTGTTTTTATCGTCCGCAATTATTTTTAAAGCAAAGGTACACTACATGAAGATTATCTTCATTTTAGTAAATCACGGTGGTCGCGAGCAGTCTCGATGAGGAGGCAGCGCCATCTATCAGAACGTGCGCCAAACGCGCCCTCCGCTCGACTCGGTCGTCTGCTTCGCCGCCCGCCGTTGACCCTGGCAATTTTTTTGGCCTCATTTTAACAGAAAGGAAGCTACGCTCTGTAATTTCGCAAGAGAAAAACGGACCTGTGAAATACACCTTTAACGAAAAGTTCGGATTGCTTCGGGAGGCGTCAATTTTTACGGTCCATTTTAGATCGAGACTGGTGACTTCAGACACTCCATATCATATATGAAGCAAGCTTCTTTCCAACACGCTTGAGGCCCGTCCGCAAATAATTTTGTTATGACGTCTGCAGCACACACCGTGCATTTTGTACGATATAAGTGCAGTGTGACTCTAAGGCTTTAGGAATGACAAATTTCAAGGAGTGAGTTTTGGCACCTGGAAACGTCAGGCAGAATAACTTGAACTGTGAGGAAATCCATTCTTGGAGTACCAATAGCTCGGGGGAAAAAACAAAAAGGGAGGCAGAGAGAGGGGGATGTGTGGGAAAGGGAAAAGTCTGGTCGAGGGGTTGGCGGAGCCGAGGGAGTGACTCAGCACTCTTAACGTCGCGACCGGTGGCTCGGAAATCTGTTTACCGGAATGGGCAATCGGCCTCGAAACTGCAAGAGCGGGAACCGTGGTCCAAACCTCCCCCCCGCGGAGAGCCTAAGGCCTTGGGTAAACTGGGAGAGGGGGAAGAAATAAAAGGACGAGGAGAGCATCGAATGGTGCGAACGGTTTGCGTTCGGTCACCCGGAAAAGAGGGAAGCGTTTGAAGGAGGCTCTGAAGTGCAAACAGGGTACGAAGAGAGATGCGGGAGGACGTAGTTTATTGAGTTTCTTGGGTGGGCTTGAAAGCGCTGTGTTCGACACGGTAAATGTACAACCATCAAAGAAAAAATGAGAAAGCCCGCTTAAAAAAAGAGCAGGACCACCCTGGCGCCGGGAAGCCCTGGTACCTCCGGGATACTAATGATTGTGCAGAAGTGTGTGAGATTTGAAAGGTATTAAGGCAAATATATTCAAACAATACAGCTACAGCCAGTACGGTTTCTCTGTGCTTTATTGAGGAACGTCTACGCAAATTTATTGACGATGTAGAGTAAACATCTACGTCATTTGCGGAGAACATAAAGCCTCTGCTAAGTAGAATAACACTGACAGAAAATTTTGTTCTTCGCAAAGTTTTATGACGGTGCGCCGTTGTTCATGGTGTATATCTTCGCGCTTGATTTGTCGCGTGTATTTGTTTCATTCCTCCAATCGATGTCGTGCTTCTGGTATTTTGGCCCCGGGTCGCGGTTGTCCCCAAAGCTTCGCTTCTGTTTGAAGTCCTTATAAATATTTGTAGTGTGTATACTTCTTCGTAGGGGACCTCAATGAATAAGGGCCGGGGGGGGGGGGGGGGGGGAGTGATGTTATAAACGTAAATCTATATAAAAACAAACGGATTCGCATTGCATGCATGCAATCAGCACATACGTCTTTTAAATCTACAAAGATGCCATTGATTAATTACGATTTGCAGGGCGCCTGTGTCCTCATATTTTTTTTTTACCGGGTTATTAGTATTTTATGAAGAATTGAAGAAGAAAATGACGTGCTTCTCAAATTGCTGTGTGTTCCCAGCAGGGGGTGCCAGAGTTCCTGATATCAACCGGAAGCCAAAGTCAAACAGCCAAATGGTGAGTGCAAGCAGAAGACTTTATCTCACGCTCCTTATCACTCACGGAGTTCCACGGTGTTACCAACGCTTTCTGTTAAAATTAAACAGCTGCAACCGCTCTACTTGTTGCACTCTCGAGCTAACGTTACTAGATGACCTCAGTTGTGGAACTCCCACGGAAGGGAGTACCCCCATCACTCATTCCAGTACTCCTCTCGTCGTTCGAAGCGCCATCTAGATTTTCGTTTACGAACTGAGTGTTGCGTAGAGTACGGGTAGAGCGCCATCTAGACACTGCGCTTGGATTCGTACGAATCCCATAGAATACACTGCAGTTACCAAACCAACCGTCCGGCGCGTCGAGCGACGGGAGGCGACGGGGAAAATAAAGATAAGACGAGGCCTTAGGCAGGGGTGCCCGTTATCGCCTTTGCTGTTTATGTTGTATCAGAGAGGATTGGAGGATAGACTAGAGAAGAGTGGGCTTGGGTTCAACCTTTCTTACAGTAATTAGCTAGGCCAAAAAATTCAGCAATCCTTACCGGGATTGATGTATGCGGATGATATCGTACTACACTCTCAGAAAAAAGGTGTATTATTACACCCCTTGTCCCATATAATACACCCCAAAACTTCAAATGGACGTACAGCGCCCCATAATCGAACAGGCGGCTCCAAAGTTTACGAGGGGCTTGATAGGTGTGTGGTACAACTTATTAAGGTAGCTGATGTACGTATTATTGACTACAAAAAATATTATCGGAGTTTTCTTGACCGTACTGCAAAAGCTCAGTGTTTTCTTTCTTTGGTCTTTGATACGTACTTCAGCAATTTAATAAGTTATATCGCACCGTTATCAAGACCCTGGTAAAATTGTGTGCCGTCTGTTCGACTATAGGGCGCTGTACGTCGAAATGAAGTTTTGGGGTGTATTATATGGGACAAAAGGGTGTAAGGTGATACCCTTTTTTTTTAGAGTGTAATGGCTAACAACAGGACAGAGTTGCAGGAATTAATGAGCATCTGTGGTAGGGAAGGAGAGGAATTAGGTTTAGAATTCAATAGCGAAAAATCAGCAGTCATGATTTTTAACGAGGATGAAGTTGAGAGGCTGAAGATACAGAATATTACAGTTGAGAGAGCTACACTCTAAGAAAAAAGGGAGGAGAAAGGTAGCAAAAGCGACTGTTCCTCCTTGGTGCGGACAAGTTGCCCAGAGAAGGGAGGAACGGCAGTTCAGATGAAAGAAGGAGGGCGAGTTCCTCCTTGTTCAGTTGGCGCAGGGGTAGAACATCGCGCTACTGACCAAGTGGTCAACAATTCGATCCCCAGAAAAGTGGTTTTTTTTTTTTTTTTTTTGTAAAGTTTTTTTTTATTTTTGTTTACCAAAACACATATAAACAAACCCAGACCGATGAAAGGAAAATTAAAGTCCTTATTATTCTCCGAGACGTTTTCCTCCTCCAGGCAGACCGGAGAAAGCTTTCGCCCTCCCGACTCATCTTCTTTCGGTTTCGTTTTTCGAGCAGGTCGCGCACGTTGTTTAATAAATTAATGTTGAGTTGATTGAGCTTCAGCGGCAGCGAAGGCCGCCTGTAATTCCGTCTTCTAGTCCAAACGTGCAGAATATTTCGGTTGCATTGACGTTTTTACCACTAATTTTATCAAACGAGCTAACGAAGCCGCTAGAAACAGCGAAGTTCCGGAGCAGTGCCAGCAGCGCTACATACACTGAGTAAGACGGCCGTCTCCAATTTGCGGGACACATGCGGAACTACAGCCTGCTACAGCAGCGAAACCACGAGGAACTGTGTCGAAGTTTTCGACGTTATGGAAATCGCGGGAACTGCGTCCAAGGAAGGCAGGTTTTCCTGCCGGCTGCCTGGGTGCCTTCCATGCTGAGTTCGGTTCCGTCGTCCCGTGCCGAGTGCCAACCGGCGTTCAACGTGATTCTTCTGCGTGTCAGGAACATCGTCAACGTGGTTCTGTATTTCTTCGTGTCAGCGACATTGTGATGGCAGTGTTGTGGGTTGTGAACAGAAGACTGGAATTATCGCCGATGTGACCGTGTGTTCGCGTATCAATGCCGTAACAAGATGAGATGACGTAAACTGTCGGGCATTGATGCCGCTGGTCGGGCCGTTATCGGAGGGGCCGGGGTGTCGCAGGATGACATTCCGCTTTACATTAAAGAGTTTAAAACCACTTGAGGGATTAGGTGCAGTCGATCGACGTGTGGATAGTCATGTTGGAACGCTGGTCTGAACGGTGAGCTCCTATCGTACAGTGGCCAATGTGACTCGGATACCCGAGAGCGATTGCGCTCTGGGGAAAAGACAACACTACGAAAGTATAACGGAAAGTACGTATATTTATAATGGAAGTTTAACATAAAAAAAAAAGACAGGCAAAATTGAAAAAAAAAAAACGCTATCCTTTAATTTACTGTTTAAATATATTACGGTTCCTGTAGAAACTGCCCTCTAAGTGGCGCGCTGGGATGAGCGTTAGAAGTTTTCGAGCTCGCAACGGCGCAGCTCCGTACACTTAACAGTTGTCGCAAGTCGCGGCTTTGACTGCATTCAAGTTGATCGAAAAGCGATTTCTGTGCCCGTGAAGCATCACTTCCAACTGAGTGGATATCCGCTCTAGAGAGATTAATTCAAGACGGCAGTTGCAGCTTTGCGCGAACAGCACAAATAGAAAAACGAACACCACAATATAAATACTGGCTACGAAGGGCCGTGCGGGAAAACAAACTCATGGCTTGGAACCACATTGGAGCGGCTCGATTTATTGGCTTTCAAATAATTATGGCATGATCGAGCGTCTTCTTTTTAATAAGAGATTCATCCTTTGAGCCATTAAAAATAGCCCCAGATGTATGACATTGCTGGAAAAAAATGAACATGTTCGGAATATTTTTTTTTGCTTAGGGAGTCACCGAAAAATTCCGTACGTTCAAAACGACCACTATAAAAGACGGAAACGCAGGGCTCGGTAGTAGTGATCGGGATAGTGTGCTGTTGTATTGATGTTTGTATGTGCGATGCCTGTGTATGCGTTCAATATATGTTGACCTGATGTTTGTAGTGTGCGCAACGTGTCTACATGTGTTAGAGATTCCGTAGGAAAGGAAACGCAATTTTGGCGTAAGGAAATAAAAATATTTTTTTGTAAAAACATGAATTGGGCGGTACCTAGCGCCACCTAGCCTAGCTTCGTGCGATTACTCTGCTTGACCCTGCCATCTGGTGGCAAGCGATTTAACATCCTTTTACGCTACGCGGCTACGCCATAATTTCGTGTTACCGTGCTGAGGTAAGCCAAGAGGTTGCTTCGGATTTGCTTTTTTTTGAGAGCGGCTTTTGGTTTTGCGGGCGAATGTTTTTCACCCCTCCGTGATGTGCGGTTGACGCAACGGTTGACGAAGGAATTGTGGCTCGAGGAATAGCAAAGGTAGGACATAAAGTGCGCGAACTGAGTGCCGGTTGTCTCCGTTGAACATCGCAGTGCTGACGATGAGAAGACTGAGTGACTGCATGCTTTCGAAACGTAAGTTTCTTTACCTGCAGGGGTAAAGAAACTTCGGAAATAAATACAGTTCGCGGAAAGCTCGTGTTACGTTTTTATTTCCTGCTCCTCTCGCTTCGTGCAATAGACTTAGTGTTCTCGTTAAGCCTTACCGAGCTCGATTTGCTCGATTCGTGGCCGCCATAATGAGATGCAGTCGACGGAGGAACTTTTCCTCCCCTGCTTAAGGGACGAAAGTTTCTCCCTTTCTGAAGGAACATATGTGTCAAGAGCGTTCCTCCCTTTAGGGAGGACTATACTGACCCTTTTTTCTAAGAGTGTAGTAAATACAAGTATCTAGGAATATGGATATGTGATGGTGCAGAATATCTCAGAGAGCATGAAAAGTATATAATATGTAAGGGCAACAGAAATGCAGCTGTAATGAAAAATAGAGCACTTTGGAATTACAACAGGTATGAGGTGGTGAGAGAGATTTGGAAAGGGGTCATGGTGCCTGGCTTGACTTTTGGAAACGCGGTGCTATGCATGAAATCCAAAGTGCATGCGAGACTAGAAATAAAACAGCGCGGAGTAGGTAGACTGGCTTTGGGGGCACATTGCAAAACGCCAAACCAGGGTGTACAAGGAGACATGGGATGGGCGTCATTTGAGAGCAGGGAAGCGGTGAGCAAGATAGAATTTGAGGATCGGTTGAGGCAAATGGATGGGGACCAATGGGCACGAAGGTTTTTCAGCTATTTAGACATGAGGAGTGGAGACACAGAGTGGAGACAGCGCACTAGGAAATTAAGAGGAAAGTTTTGGGGCTATAGCGAAGATACGGAAGAGCAAGTCTCAGTTAAGAAGAAAGTCAAGGCCACAGAAAGAGATCAGTGGCTAGAGGGAATGCAGACAAAGACGGCTCTGGAAATCTATAGATTAAGCAAAACAATTATGGCCAAAGAAAGCATTTATGACAATTCTAGGAGAAGCTCATTGTTGTTTGAGGCGAGGACGGGGGTTCTGCGAACCAGAACATACAAAGTGAAATACCAGGAAATGGATACAGTGTGCACTGCTTGTGGAGAGGAGGACGAGACGGCTGAGCACTTGATACTCTACTGTAAAGGGCTTCACCCTATGCCTACCGAAGACAACATGGATTCAATAAAGTCATTGGGTTTTAGAGACAGTGAGGGGAGAGCGGATTTCAAGACTGTAGAGATTACCAAGCAAAGATTAACTGAATGGTGGCAGAAAGGGAGGGAAAACTAGGTACTTTCTTATTAACTGATGGCAAGGGGGTTTTATAGCCCCACTTTTTTTGCAGTGTGGAGTGAATGTAGATTTCACATTTAAATATTCTAAGCTTAAATGGTAAAACAAAATGGCTAGGTGGCATAAGCTACCGCCCGATCCAAAGGGCTCAGCCGCATTCGTCCATCCATCCATCCATCGAGTCGTGGTGAGTGAGGGGGGTACTGCTCGTGCATGCAGCGTCTA